GCTGTTTTCCTGAAATTCCTACATTCTTAATGCTGAAGGAATGCCATCTCTCTTAACACAGCACCTTTCTACTGTACTTCTAAGGAAAACCAATACTTACATAAACACAGATCAGTCTCTCTTAGGAACAACTATTGCCAACTAGAGTATTCTACATGGTTGAAATATTAACAAAAAAGATGAACTCAATTTTGGCTGCCCCAAACTATTACACCGAGTATCACAACAGGAGGAGGAAAAGTAGGAAAGGCTATTACAGAAAGATTGTTAAAAACTGATAAAACTAATTGGGCCCAAATAACACATCATCTAATATATATATCTGGCCCTCTCCCTTACCACCCCCACCCAATCCACTTTGGCTTTTTTTTTTTTTTAAGATTTTATTTATTTAGGGGACCCTGGGTGGCTCAGTGGTTTAAAGCCTTCGGCTCAGGTCATGATCCCAGGGTCCTGGGATCAAGCCCCACATCAGGTTCTCTGCTCCGCAAGGAGCCTGCTTTCTCCTCGCCTCTCTGCCTACTTGTGATCTGTCAAGTAAATAAATAAAATCTTAAAAAAAAAAAAAAAAGATTTTATTTATTCATTTGAGAGAGAAAGAGAGAGGCAGCACAAGCAGGCGGAAAGGCAGAGGGAGAAGCAGACTCTTCATCAAGCTGGGAGCCTAACATGGTGCTCGATTCCAGGACCTGGAGATCGTGAACTGAGCTGAAGGCAGACACTTAACCAACTGAGCCACCCAAGGACCCCTCCACTTTGCGTTTAAAACTGTTTTTGATAGGCGCTTGGGTGGCTCAGTCAGTTAAGCGACTGCCTTCGGCTCAAGTCATGATCCCTGAGACCTGGGATCCTGGGATCGTGTCCCATATCGAGCTCCCAGCTCCGCAGGGAGTCTGCTTCTCCCTCTGACCTTCTCCCCTCTTATGCTTTCTCTTACGCACTCTTTCTCAAACAAATAAAATATTTTTTTAAAAACTGTTTTGATAATACCATTGTCTTTTAACTGCTAGTAAGTAGTAACGGTTACCCAACAAAACCTTAAACTAGGTTTTTTGTTTCAACACTGTATGCGTTCATCTTTCATCTTAGTAAGTGTATAGCAGGGAACATTTTTCATTATTTTCCACATTATCCCAAACTTATCTTTCACCAAAAGACAACAATGATTTATGGCCCCAAGTTCCCCTCATTAAGAACTACTGGTAATTATGCTTCTTCAGGTTATGCAAATTTCCCAAAGTGAGGATCATTTTGTTTACAATATAGGCCTTCCTAATCCTAGGTCGGTTATAAGTTGTTTTAAAAATGAAGTCTTATTTCTAAAAGATGAGTGCAGAAACAATTTTAGGGATTTAAAGGTTCATATAAATTGGCCTGGCTGAACACACTATTCTCCCTCTTCTTATCTAACAAAACTTAAAAAAAACCCCACTCTTATGCCCAAATTATTTTTTTCTTATTTATGCACCTGTCCTCCCAAAATTAAATTCTATGGGAATTTCTAATGTATCTCATACAGCCTAAATGCAAAATTCATCCATTAAGTTACTGAACACCTTTAAGTATCAAAACAGAATTTCCTAGATTCCTAGATGCAAGGATGAATAAATTAGGCAGTCCTTTCAATTCACTGTACAAACCCAGTGGAGGAACTCCAGACAACAGCTAAATGCTGTAGGGGTACTGCACAAGGTAAAATGGAGCTAAAAAAGAACACGATCAAAAGCTGAACCAAGCACTAACGTATGTGTGTATGTATATACAGATAATATATCCAGAGACACACACACAAGACAAAAATATAGCCATAATTCCACACACGAACCAGATGTGTTTTCATTAGGGAGTAGAGAGGAACCTACAAGCACATAGTTTTGTCATCACCGAACTGAGAAAAACAGTAATAAAAAATACTAATGAAAAATGCCAAGGTAAATTAAATAGCTCTCTATGCAAAAATGGAACTTCCTCACAAGAGTAAAAAAAAAAAAAAAAGACTACAGTAAATCTTAGCAAGCCATCCTGCTTGTTTACAATCATTTCCCCGTTTCAGAGGGCACAAATACATAGATTCGGTACCAAGAAAGTAATGACCATCCATATTTTTGAATAACAAAGATCCAGCAGGTCTGTTCAACCAAATTTTTTTTTTTGAGCTTCAATGTTATGAGGCTAAAAGAAATCTACAACTATCTTGCCATATTCTTTGTCCATAACATCCTTTGGCATCTTTCCAAAGCAAACGCCCCATTCAGAGTAGCTTTGATTTTTTTTTTAATGATTCTTCAGTTGTATTTAGTCTCTTTTTGTCTATCATTTCAGCTCATTTCAGGTGCTCTTTCCTCTAAACAGTCACCAGTTAGTTAAAAGGTTATTGAGGAACACACATCATCAACCTACAGAATACTAACTGCAAAAGGAAAAATAATCCTCTCTATCCAAAATAAATAAAATCTTTTAAAAAAAAGAAAAAAATTCTTTTTTTTTTTAAAGATTTTATTTATTTATTTGACAGAGAGAAATCACAAGTAGGCAGAGAGGCAGGCAGAGAGAGAGGAGGAAGCAGGCTCCCCGCCGAGCAGAAAGCCCGATGCGGGGCTCGAACCCAGGACCTGGGATCATGACCCGAGCCGAAGGCAGCGGCCCAACCCACTGAGCCACCCAGGCGCCCCAGAAAAAAATTCTTTACAGAAAAATACGAGCCAGTCAGAAAGACCGAGTAGAATTAGACCACCATTATTCACCACCTCCAATGTAATAACTGATTTATTCAAGAATTATTAATTGACAAATAACTAGTTAAAAGGTTATTGAGGAACACAAAATCATAATCTTTCACAATAAAGAAACCCAGAGTCATCATCCTACCCAAATAATCAAACTTAACCATCACTAATAGTGGAACAACCTAACCACTTGGCATGAAGTGCCTTTTGATGTAACATTACACCATTCTACCCAAAAATATTTAAGCCAAATATTATCAGAGCTCTCAGTTTAGACCTAAGCAACCACAAAGTTTTCAGGAAATAACAAAAGATAAAGGGACAAGTTAAATGATACCACACAAAAATCAAATCAACTCAGAAAATGAGAAGTTTTTACTAGAAAATTGTCCAGGATTCTTCAGACAAACAATATCCCCAGGAGAAAAGGGGGGTGGGGGGACTGTTCAAGAGATACAACAAAATGATGCATGTAAACCCAAATTAGATTCTAATAAAGCAGAAGAAAATAAAGAAAAAAGAAAGAAAATCCAATGAATCCTATTTTGGGGATAACTGGGGAAATGTGAACAGAAACTGGGATCCAGAAATGATACGTTATTACTATTAATTTTCTTAGGTGAGAAAACGGTATCGTTATATAACTGCATCAATGTCCTTTTATAAAAGAATGATGAAATTTAAGGGGCTGAAATATGTGTCAACTTACTTTCAAGTAAGTATGTAAGCAGAGACAGGGAAAAACGGTTAATAACTGCTGATTCTAGGTGAAGAACTGTATTGCTAGCATTCATTGCACTTCCAACTTTTCTCTATGTACTAAACTTTGCACGATAAAACTTTTAGGTTAATTTCTCTTCCTGTAAATTTTCACCACCATCTCTCCCATTTAAACCACCACAGTTCTGAAATATTCAAGGTCATGACATTTCAGTGTCTTTATAATTTTAGATAAATTTAAGAATTAACAAGTTCTGGAAACTTTCAATAAAATCTTAGGACATCACTACTCCTCAGCTTTCAAGTGACAAAATATGAGCCCATCTCAGAAAAACGGTAGGTATACATAAACAGATTTGATAAAATAATTTTGAGACTTGAGACTTTGCATTTTTGGGCATTGTGACAGCATGTAAAATGTAAACGGGATTTCAGTACTGAAATCAGTCAACAAACACACACAAAATTTAATTTAGCAAGCCTTCCCGACATAATGACATTTACAGCCACCCAGACCATTCAAGAGGAACTCCAACTTTGCCTCATCTCTGTCAACCTCTAAAACAGCCTCTACCTTCTAAGCTGGGAATTTAAAAAACAAAAACCTAAGTGTAGTTCGTTACCACGGCAACAGGAAATTTCAGGAAATTGAGGCTCTGCAGGTCTAGCTAGCCTCCATTTTAAAAACTATTTACCTAAACATAGCAGGACTTAAATCGAAAAAACAAATGGAATGACATCTCTCATAAGGTATCAGTTTCCTCTTTCAAACTAAAAGGTAGTATTTACCCAAATTCTGAACAAAGTGCAAAAGAAACAAATCACTTTACTAAATATCGGATTTTTACAGTATTTATAAGTCACTTACACCCAGTACTAAAGCAGACGCTTTTATTTACAGTGGCCAAAACCAATTTCTCATTTCCGATTTATCAAATTCTGCAATATTTGTGTCGCTTTAAAAACGAAAATGAACTGCGTACAGAATAAAGAGAAAAAGAAGGAAGCAGAAGCAAGCCACACAATTCCTGAATCTCGGCAAAACCATGCTTTTCTCCTACACTGCTTCCTTCTTCATTCGCACTGGCAAGAGACTATTTCTCCAGATGAGTTTCATCTCCGATTATTTCTCAAAGTGGTAACCTATTTCGTGGTATATCGGAGAGGTGGCAGAGGAAACACTGTGAAGTTTTTCGAAAACAGCGACTACACGTTAACGTAATCAATTCCTAACCACCCCAGTATCAAAATGGTATCAAAGGAAGGTACCTCACAGGAGCAGTCCCACGAACCTAACTAAACAGGACGAAGCAGCTTCCTGGCTATTGTCTAGGTTAAATATTTGTTCGTATTAACGCCTACGGCAGAGAAACAAAAAAATAACTTCAGATCTCAGTCAGCCCTTGCTCCCCATCCCCACATTGTCCTATACCCGGTTCTCCGGGTCCATTAGACCCCGATTCCTTCCTCAGGCGAACATGGCTGGAGTACTCGGACGAACACAGACTTGAAGAGAAGAGGTCGCCACGAGGCCCCACCACTCTCTTTCCTCACCTGCTCCGGGGCGCCGTCTCCTGACATGGCCTCAGTTGACTAGAAAGGAAGAACTGGCCCGCGATGCGAAGCTAGAAAAGAGAAATTAAACTAAAAACCACCCCAAACCAGTAAAGTTACCCCCTGCCCAGCGGAGCCAGACCGCCAACACGAAACGCCACCGCCCACTCAGATATGAATTAAAATGGCTGCGCCCCAGCCGGATGAGGAGAGAGGTGTGGCTTCTGCATTAACTTCCGGGGCAGTGGGCGGAGCTAAGATCACAACTCGCCAGTTACTCGGCCGCGCAGATGCAGAGAGAATCCAGAAGCTGGCCCAAAGCCTGTGCTGACGTCACGACCCTGGGCTAGGGGAGCTGTTGCTGAGCTGGCTATAACCGGCTGGGAGGCGGGAAACTGTTTAGCCTGGAGGCTCGCGCGCCTTTTGGAGTTTAATTATCAAGCTGTGGAACCTGGTTTTTCGCTATTGAAGCCTGACTGCCAATCAGTTTAGTTCAGGCAAACTGGCCGTCTTAGGACAATGCTAAGTTTAAACGCCTTTTATATTTTGGAGATAGGGAATATATCGAGGTTTTCTATGGTATAAGCTAATGCTTTCTATGCTTTTTAGGGATAAGAGGAACAGATCGAGCTCATAACATGTACTGCCACTACCTCCTATTGTGTCTAAGGTTTTAACGTCTGTAAATCCTGGGTTTTAAGCTCAGCATCTCACCATGATTCTTCGTATGCAAAGTGGAGGTAAAAGCAGTCAGACTCTGAAGCCAGACTCCATTCGTTTGAATCCTGGCTACGTCTCTCACTTGATCGGTAACCGTGGGCAATTTAACTTTGCCCGTGCCGCAGTTTCTTTGCCAATAGATAGGAATAACAGTAGTACCCGCAATTTAAATAAGGTGTGCCCGTAAAAGCGCTCAGAGCGTGTGTGGCATAGCCCAAGATTAAGTGAGAACAGGTCTCTTAAACTAATTTCCAGTGAAAGTTCGTCATACTGTGTCTGCTTTTATTCTCCTCTCGGATAGTGGCCTACATGCCAAACTAAACCTAAACTTTTCCCATACCTTATTCTTTTCTGTCTCCTTGCTTCTGCTTATGTATTTCCACCACCCTTTTCACAGCCTGAATTCTTACCCTTCCAAGTAATCAGACACATGAAGAATAATAGATGTATGTTAACACAAAGATATAAATGGTTTTTGCACCACCCAACAATAGAGGACATTAAATATATTACAGATAATCCATGATATTGTTACCTGAAAAAGAATGCAAAAATAGTGCACATTATATAGGAGACACACACACACACACACACACACACACACACACACTACCTTAAAATATTTAAAGATGAAAAGCAGTTATCTCCAGATCGGGTGTCACATAATTTTCCTTTTTATCTGTTTTCTGAGTTTGTCTATGATTGATTACTGCAAGAATACATCTTTAAGAATAATATTCACGGGCGCCTGGGTGGCTCAGTGGGTTAAGCCGCTGCCTTCGGCTCAGGTCATGATCTCAGGGTCCTGGAATCGAGTCCCGCATCGGGCTCTCTGCTCAGCAGGGAACCTGCTTCCCTCTCTATCTCTCTCTCTGCCTGCCTCTCTGTCTACTTGTGATCTCCCTCTGTCAAATAAATAAATAAAATCTTAAAAAAAAAAAAAGAATAATATTCACAAACACACAAAAGAATAGCATTTATGTTCTATTCTTCAAAGTTGGACTCAAATGCTGTTTTTTCCTAATATTTTTATGAAAAACTTCAAAGAGATAAAAGTTCAAAGAATAATCCAATGAATGCCTATATCCCCAACACCTTGATCCAGTGACTAACATTTTGACGTTTGCTTTATATGTATGTATTTACATGTATAGTACGCTTTTTGCAAAATAATTTGAAAGCAAATACAAACATCATGACACTTCATCCAAAAATAAGTCAGTTTATGTTTTCTGAGAATGAGACATTCTCCTTTTTTTTTTTTTTTAAGATTTTATTTATTTATTTGACAGACGGAGACCACAAGTAGGCAGAGAGGCAGGCAGAGAGAGGGGAGGAAGCAGGCTGCCTGCTGAGCAGAGAGCCCAATGTGGGTCTCGATCCCAGGACCCTGAGATCATGACCTGAGCCAAAGGCAGAGGCTTAACCCACTGAGCCACCCAGGCGCCCCAGACATTCTCCTTCTTAACTACAATATCATTATCACACCTAAGAAAATTAATAATTATTTCCTAACATTATTTACTATTCAGTTTATAGTCAAATTTTCCCAAGTATTCCAAAAATGTCTTTTTGGAGGTTTTTTTTTGTTTGTTTTTTTGGTTTTTTTTTTACAAATCAGGATCCAATAAAGTTTCAAGTATTGCATTTAGTAGTTATATTTCTTCAGTTGCTTTTATTCTAGAAATAGTCTTCTCATCTCTTTATTTTTTGAGCTTTTTATGAGACCTGACTGGTTTTCTCTAGGAATGTCCCATATTCTGGATATAACCCAAAGTATGCCCTAAAGGAATGATAAGATTCAGGTTAAACATTCTGGCAAGAAGGGGCACATGGGTGGCTAAGTCAGTTAAGTGGCTGCTTTGGCTCTGGTCATGATCTCAGGGTCCTGGGATCCAGCCCCATGATCTAGGCGTTCTGGGTTCCAGCCCCCACCTCAAGTCCCATATCAGGCTCCCTGCTCAGCAGGGAGTCTGCTTCTCCTTCTCACTCTCCTCTGTGCTCTCTTTCTAATAAATAAAGAAAATCTTTAATTTTTTTTTTTTTTGTCAAGACTATGTCACAGGTATAGCTATGTACTTCATTTTGTATTATGTCAGGAGATACATCAAACTACTAATTTGGTGCTAAGTTTGATCACTTATTTGGGTGGCGACTATCAGTTGTCTCCTTTAGGTACATTTCACTCTTTGTAGTTAAGGAGCAGGGAATTGCAGAGTAAGGTGTTGGCACCTGCTAATTTCCTGTTCCCCAACAAATTTTCACCATGGTTTGGTCATCTACTAATAAATCTTTCTTGAATTAATAGTGAAATACTTGGTGATTAAATAAAATATTTTTATTCTATTATTCCTTCTACATTAATAGAAAGTTCTGTGAAAAAGAACTCTTCCTCATTAATATGTAAAAATTGGGTAATTGCTTAATATTTACCCTTTAATGACAAATTTTCAAAGCAAAGGTTTTGATTTAATACCTCCTTCAAGTAGTAGAAAATGAATTTTTTTTCTGGATTTTTCTCTTTGAGTATCATTGTGGATTTATGAGTTTTTTAAAACTTAAGTTATTTCAATCAATTGTAATCATTATTCTTTTGGCACCAGTACTAGTCCCTTTATACTGGGTAACTGGATCCCATGTCTTTTTGACATGTTGCCATTAGTTTTGGAAAACTTCCTGACTTACTGGCACAAAATATCTTAGACTCACTTCCGTGTTACAGAATTGTACCCTCCCTGTCACAGACCTAGACTCAGTTATTTTTCCAAGGTACATTGGTTCCTTTATTTTGGAAATGGTAATAGAAACAAAATGTGGGCCATAGATGTTCTTTGCTCCTGGGTGCCATTGTTTCTAGGCCTTTTCAGAGTTCAGAGATAGTAAATGTATTTTTTAAATTATGAGCTCATTTATTGATTTCCAATTCAAATTTAATTTTTCTGTGTTGATTCTACATTTGTATCTCATTTCTCTTACTCTTGGTCCTTACAAAATATATTAAAAAGTTTTTAGATTACATCAAAATAAAAAGCTTCTGCACAGCAAAGGAAACTATCAATAAAACTAAAAGACAACCTCCTGATAAAGGGTTAGTATCCAAAATATATACAGAACTTATATAACTCAACACCAAAAAAACAAATAATCCAATTTAAAAATGGGCAGAAGACATGAACAGGCAATTCTCCAAAGAAGACAGAGATGTCCAATAGACACACAAAAAGATGCTCAACATCCCTTATCATCAAGGAAATTAAATCAAAACTGCAATGAGATATCACCTCACACCTGTCAGAATGGCTAAAATCAAGAACACAGGAAACAACAAGTGTTGTTAAGGATGTAAAGAAAAAGGAACCCTCAGGCACTGTTGGTAGAAATGCAAACTGAACTAGTCACCTGTGAAAATGGTATGGAGGGTCCTCAAAAATTTCAAAATAGAATTAGGATATGATCTAGTAATTCCACTATTGGGTATTTATGAAAACACTAATTCTAAAGGATATATACACCCTCATGTTTATTGCAGTATTATTTACAATGGCCAAATTATGGAAGCAGCTGAAGTGTTCATCAATAGATGAATGGAAAAAGAAGATGTGGTACCCCCCCCCCACACACACAATGGAATAGTATTCAACCATAAAAAAGAACAAAAACCTGGCCATTTGCAACAACATGGATGGATCTAGAGAGCATAATGCTAAGCAAAATAAATCAGTAGAGAAAAACAAATACCATATGATTTCACTTATATGTGGAATTTAGGAAAGAAAACAAATGAACAAAGGAAAAAAAAAGGAACAACCTAAAAAAGAGACTCTTAATTATAAAGAACAAACACATGGTTACAAGAGGGGAGGTGGGTGGTGGGATGGATGAAATAGGTGAAGGGGATTAAGAGTATACTTATCTTGATGAGCACTGAGTAATATATAAAATTGTTGATCACTAAAAAACAAAAAATTAAGTTTCTAGTTTAAAATACGAATACTAAAATGTCAATATCAATACATTTTCTGAGTGATGTTTAAGTCTTCTTTAAAATTTTTTTTGTCCTTATATTATGTCATATTAAGGATGTTCAGTCAGGGTGCCTAGTACAAAAGTCACTTGAAATAATTCTTGTCTCTCTGAGTTTATGTGAGCAATTTGACATACAGTTAGGTTCAACTGTTTCATTTGGTTTCAATTTTAATGTTTGATCTTTTTATCTGTAATTTTATTTTTAAGTATAAAAACCCCATCACATGGTTCAAGAATCAAAACTATGTAAAGAGTTATTTTCAGAGGAGTTTCACTTCAGTCTCTAGACCCTCTACCCACCCAATCCCATTCCCATTCTCTATAGATAATCATTTTTATTAGTTTCCAGTGTTTCTTATTGCAAACATAAGCAGGTATATATTTTGCCTTTTTTCTTACACAAAAGGTCTCCAAGTATACACTTGCTTTTTTTTACTTA